TTCGACTTACAAAGAGAATTTTTTAGTTAATAAACACTTTTCCAAGGAAATACCAGGCAAGGAGAGTGGTTTTTTTTGAGCTACCCCTGGAAAATTAAATACTTGCAACGGAGAGTGCGGCTGTTATGTATTGATTCGGATGATTTTGTTTCATTGCATTGTATTTCAAGAAAGTTATAACTCTTTCAAAATGACACAAGGAAATTCAAAGGTCACGCCGAGCGTATTTTTTGTTAAACGGGAGCCATTCTGTTAGTTTGAGGGTAATACTCGGAAAGAATTCAAAGTCATTAAAGCGCAAAGTTTGCTAGAACCGGAAGTCGATAAACGCTTGCTAAATTAAGCTATGCTGTAATTTTGCTGCATAATAAGTGCATCATCGCTTTTGCGATAGTTATTCTCATACTCGCGATGGATAGCGCAATCGTTCATGTACTGATTTGGATAGTTCTGTTTCATCGTAATGTATTTCAAAAAAAGTTATAGCTCTTTGAAAATGACACAAGGCAAGTCAAAGGTTACGCCGAGCGTCTCTTCTAAGATGGTTAACATTTTAGCTTTCTGTCGAATGGTTTTCTTTAGGATTACGATAAGCAAAGGGCCTGATTATAACTTACTGTACTGTTTGGTAGGTTGGAGGGTAATACTCGCAGGAAATTCAAAGTCATTAAAGCGCAAAGTTGGCTCCCACCATCATCGCGTTTGCGGTTGTTATTCTGATACTTGTGATGGATGGTACAATCGTTCATGTACTGATTTGGATAATACTGTTTCATCGCAATGTATTTCAAAAAAGTTATAACTTTTTGTAGATGTGGCACAAAGTAGGTCTAAGGTCCCTATTTTGTATGGCTGTTTACTTACGATTATTTGTTGGGATGTGAGTGAGGCATATTGCGAAGGTTAAAGCACAAGTGAAACTATGCCGTTGCGAAAGAAGGGATTTTTTAAATGATTTTTCGCGAAGTTATAACGGATCAAACTTCCCACCCTTGCGCAAAGGAGAGAACGTGTGAATAAGTCTAATTTTGTAGGAAATTATCATTGTTTTCGTTGTCTTTTGTTCTAGCGCTTTATTTGTTGTTTCTACAAGAAGTAATAATGGAAAACTTTCTTTGATATCGATATTTAGATGTTTTGGATCAAAAAATGTTGTTTCTACACCAAACTGTAAAACGGTAACCGGTAACTGAAAATTTAGAATTGGCTTTTATTATGCTGTAAACGCCT